GGGAATGGGAATGGGGGAATGTGGGAATGTAGGAATGTGGGAATGTGGGAATTTGGAATATGGGAATATAGGAATGGGGGATTGGGAATGGAATGGGGGAATGGGGAAATGGGAATGGGAATGGGGGAATGGGAATGGGAATGGGAATCTGGGAATGTGGGAATGGGAATGGGGGAATGTGGGAATGTGGGAATTTGGGATATGGGAATATGGGAATGGGGGAATGGGAATGGGAATGGGGGAATGGGAATGGAGGAATGGGAATGGGGGAATGGGAATGGGAATGGGAATGGGGGGATGGGGGAATGGGGGATGGCAATGGGAATGGGAATGGGAATGTGGTGGGAATGGGATGGGAATGGGTGGGAATGGGAATATGGGAATGAGAATGGGAACGGGAACGGGAATGGGAATGGGAATGGGAGCGGGAATGGGAACAGGGTGGGATTGTGGGGAAAAGGGGGCAGGAGACTGTGGGATGGTTTGGGATTGTTCCAGCCCAGGAGGAATCCGGGGATGGCCACAGCTTCCCTGGGAGTTCCAGCCCGGCCCATCCCACCCTCCCAGGGGAAAATCCCACTGGAACCGGGATGGGAATTCGGGTCTTTTCAAAGCATCCCATCCCATCCCATGGATCCCCTCCCATGGATCCCATCCCTTCCCATGGATCCCATCCTTTCCCATGGATCCCAATCCCAATCCTGTACCCAGGAATTTAGGGAGCAGGTTCTTTGGGGATCCCATCCCAATCCCATCCCATCCCATCCCAATCTCAATCCCACCCCATCCCATGGATCCCATCCCATCCCATCCCATCCCATTGATCCCAATCCCATCCCATTCCACAGATCCCATCCCATCCCATCCCATTGATCCCATTCCATTGATTCCATTGATCCCATTGATCCCATCCCATGGATCCCATTGATCTCATCCCATTGATCCCATCCCAAATCCCACCCCACATTCCCCATATCCGTTCCCTCTCCATCCCTCAGGTGGTGGAGGAGACTCAGCAGATCCTGAAGGATTTCGGGTTCCGTTTCGTTCGCCGCGGCGCCGTTTTCGTCAAGGGCAAAGGGGAGCTGCTCACCTTCTTCCTGAAGGGCCGCGAGAAACCCGGCCCCGCCGTGCCCCTGCCCCACCAGGTGCTGGAGAATTCCTGAGGAATTCCCGCAATTCCTGAAAATCCCCAGGTGCTGGAGAATTCCTGAGGAATTCCCGCAATTCCTGAAAATCCCCAGGTGCTGGAGAATTCCTGAGGAATTCCCGAAATTCCTGAGGGATCCCGAGGTGCTGGAGAATTCCTGAGGAATTCCTGAGGATCCGGCCAGAATTCCCAAGGGATCCCGAGGATCAGGCTAGAATTCCTGAGGGATCCTGAGGATCCGGACAGAATTCCTGAGGAATTCCCGAGGGATCCCAAGGATCTGGCCCCACCAGGTGCTGGAGAATTCCTGAGGAATTCCTGAGGAATTCCCAAGGATCCCAAGCCTGGAGGTTTTGATTCCATGGAAAATGGGGAAAAGCGGATCAATTTTGCCTGGATTTTGCTGGGATTTTCCTGGATTTTCCTGGCATTTTCTGGGAAGGACGGTGGGACCTGGGATTTTCCAGGAAGGACGGCGGCATCTGGAGTTTTCTGGGATTTTCCTGGGGCTTTTCTAGGATTTTTCTGGGATTTTCCTGGGATTTTCTGGGAAGATTCCTTTTGCTGGGATTTTCTGGGATTTTCTGGGCTTTTTCTGGGATTTTCTGGGATTTTCCCAGGATTGTCCCAGAATTTTTCTGGGATTTTCTGGGACTTTCCTGTGACTTTCCCAGGATTTTCTGGTATTTTCCTGGGACTCTCCCGGGAATTTCCGGGAAGGATGGCAGCACCCGGGGTTTTCTGGGATTTTCCTGGGATTTTTCTGGGATTTTCCTGGGATTTTCTGGGAAGATTCCTTTTGCTGGGATTTTCTGGGATTTTCCTGTGACTTTCCCGGGATTTTCTGGTATTTTCCTGGGACTCTCCTGGGAATTTCCAGGAAGGATGGCAGCACCATGATTTTCTGAGTTTTCCCTGGGATTTTCCTGGGACTCTCCCGAGATTTTCCGGGAAGGATGGCAGCACCCGGGGTTTTCTGGGATTTTCCTGGGGCTTTTCTAGGATTTTTCTGGGATTCTCCTGGGATTTTCCCAGGATTTTCTGGGAAGATTCCTTTTGCTGGGATTTTCTGGGATTTTCCCAGGATTTTCCCGGGATTTTCCTGGGATTTTCTGGGATTTTCCTGTGACTTTCCTGGGATTTTCTGGTATTTTCCTGGGACTCTCCTGGGAATTTCCGGGAAGGACGGCAGCACCCGGGGTTTTCTGGGATTTTCCTGGGATATTCCCGGGATTTTCATGGAAGGACAGTGGCACCGGGGTTTTCTGGCAGGATTTTCCAGGAAGGACGGCGGCACCTGGAGTTTTCTGGGATTTTCCTGGGGCTTTTCTAGGATTTTTCTGGGATTTTCCCGGGATTTTCCTAGGATTTTCTGGGAAGATTCCTTTTGCTGGGATTTTCTGGGATTTTCCTGTGACTTTCCTGAGATATTCCCAGAATTTTCATGGAAGGACAGCGGTACCGGGGTTTTCTAGCACTTTCTGGCATTTTCCTGGTATTTTCCCGAGATTTTCCTGGGATATTCCCGGGATTTTCCGGGAAGGACAGCAGGGACCGGAGCAGCAGCGGCGGCGATTCCGGGAGATCCAAACTCAGGGATGGATCATCGAACTCCTGGAGCGGGACAAATCCGGGATTTGCCAGGAATTCCTCCCGGATTTGGAGCTGGGATTTGGGCAAGGAGGGGCAGGAAGATCGCGGAGTTATCCCATAAAATCAATTGGAAAAATGAGGGATTCTTGTCGGGATTGTGGGATTGGGAAAAACGGAATGGGATCGGGAAAAATGGGATGGGAACAGCGGGATGGGATTGGGAATGCCAGGAATGTGTCCCTGGAATGAGCACATTTGGGAATGGTTTGGGAGGGAAAATCTTGAAATCACATCCCATTCCAGCCCATGATCCCAAATCCATCGGGCTCGGGGCGGCGCCATTCTCCTCCTGCTCCATGGGGACACCTGAGCGCAGGTGCGCTCCCGTTACTGCGCACGCGCGGCTTCCGTTGCCCCGGCAACGGCCGCTGCGCGCCGCCCACTGCGCATGCGCGGGCCCGGGAGCGTCCTCCGTTGCCTGGCAACGCGTAAGGTAATGTCAGTATCGCTTCTGCGCATGCGCGGTTGCGCATCCCATTGCCTGGCAAGCGTCAGGTATCGCTGGGAG